TGTTTGTACATATATATATATATATATATATGTACAAACAAGACCCTCAAACAGAGACTAATGCATCCTAAGGACAGAACCCCCAGACCAAACAAGAGCAGAGTGGTGTCTGCAGCTCAACACAGTGAGGAATGATCTGTTCTTTATATTGGAGAAACCAAACAACCTCTTCACAGATGCATGGCCCAACATAGGAGAGCGACCTCCTCTGGACAAGACTCTGCGGTACATCTACACCCTATGGACAAAGGACATTCTTTGGAGGACAAGAATGTTCACAGTTTGGACTTAGAAGACAGGTGGTTTCAGCTTTCAAAAACCTACAATGCAGCAATTTAGTTGATGCCTTCCCTCTATCATTGCGGCCCCCACCTCCTTTAAAGGAGAGCGGAGGACCTCGCCTATTTAGCCGGGCCAACAATCCTATTTAACAACCTCCCTTTCAGACACTTAGACGGCTATGGGGCATTGCAGGCTAAAGAAGAAGCCAAATAACCCCCATTCCTAAGGGGTGGACCGTTTCAATTTGCGTGTTTTCCAAACAAAATCAAGGTTTTGATGGGCTGCTGTATAAAATCTTGAACTCAATGCTACTCTAGACATTTGAATTGAAAAAGCTTTCTGGATGGGAAGAAAAACATCTTTAAACTTGGAAACAAAGTCCAGTAAATTGTTCTTAACTGTCCTTTTTTTTTGGGCAAACTTTTAGGACACATTTTCTGACAAACTGTTTAAAAATTCAACTGGATAAAAAAAAGTTACTCCAGGAATGCTTCTCATCCAGAGCAGATTTCCAGATTTCCCTGATTTAGGTTTGACACCTGCTCCTTTCAGCCTTCAGCAGAGATGTTTTAATCTTTGTACTTCATGGAGACTCAGTCCTCATCTTCCAAACCATAACAACTCCTGTTGTAGAAGGTTAGGCTGTAACACTAGAGACGTCCAGCAGGTGGAGTCAACAAGCCACAGAAAGCAAAACATATCTGATTGCTTCCATGGAGTGAATGACCTAGGGATAGTTTTAAGCTTGCAACCATATAACCAGGAAACCTCTAGTTAAATATCAACTTTTATAACCTTCTGTGTAAAAGGGAACAGCCACAGCTCACCACTGAAATACCTTTAAAACCTCTGAGCTGGAACCTGGGAGGAAGGTTCTGATCCAGAAAGTAAGAGAGCAGCAACAAATGTTAGAGAGAATATAAAATCATTCATTTTTCACATATTTTATCATTTATATTACAATGCTATATTATTTCTCATTTACAGCACATTATTTAGCTATATAGATCCCTATAAATCTTACTGTGTATCTTTTTATTTTGTCTCCTTTTTGCTTTTTTTCCCTCCAGCCTTTTTATTTGAATGTTCTCTTTTTTATAATTTTTAATTATGCTAATAATGTTGGTTGACCTTCATTAGGTCAGTCAGGGGGAAGCTACCAGCTCTGTCAGCTGTTCCATTGTCCCTCCGTCTAGACAGAAAAAATTATAAAATATTTAGTAAATTAAATATAACAAATCTACTTGTCTATTTTGTGTATTATGTGTGTTTATGTATTTGGGCCATTTACTTTTCTTTCTCATCATAACAAAGTTGGTGTGCCTGAGTCAAGTGTTTTCACAGATAAACCAATTTTCTGCAGCATGAAATAAAAGTAACACTTCTAAAGAAGAAAAAAGATTAAAGCAGGAAAATAAATGGTTGTAATTTTGGTCAAGCATATATTTTGGCTTAACTAAATACTATGACAGGAAAACAAGAAGAGCAGCTCTGCATTCTTCAGCTGGGTGGGTAGTTGGTGCTTAATTATTCAATTTAAATAAGTTACTTTAAAACTAATTACTGTACTTGAAACCTTTTTTTCAGTATTTACGGGAGCAAATAGGCAATTCCCAAAGTGAGTAACTTCACTGCATAAAGAAAAAGCACCTACAGTTTATGTTAAGTCACAAATACTTGACTACTTATAGTTTCATGAATTCTATGCTGAAAAAATTAAGATTTAGAAAAGTGTTTATTCTGCTTGAATTTGCTGCTGTCTATGTGTTAACCTTTTTCCATTCATATTTCCAAACAACTTTATATACGTTCTCTTTTTAGCACATTTTAATCATTTAATAATATGTTTTAATAACCCTTTCAGTACTTGAAGCCTTTTTAATGTTTTTTTTAAATATTATTTAGCTATTTTTCGCTTTACTGGAATAACTAGTTATTGGATAGTATAACCACTTTTACAGGTTAGTACAGTTCATTCTACTTTAGTAGAACTCCCATTTCTATGCACACTTCAGAAGTTGAAGTATGGCAGGAAATTATGTGATTCACTTTTTCAAAATAAAATTACCATAATTATTTTTTGGTTAGACTATGGCGAAATGTAAATATTCAGGAGTTTTGACCCATCCAAAAATGTTTAAAGGTAAATATTTTGCCTTTTATTTATATTATACTCACTTTTTAAGTTCAAACAGCGCTAAGGTAAATGTTGAGTGTTTTATTTTGAAAGGACAAACCCGGAAACCACGGTGACGACCTTAGCCGCTCCAAACTCAGGTGCGCGTGGCGGTGACGGAGACCGTGAAGCTGCGGCGAACTTCATAGAAGAAGCAGGTAGGAAGTTTGATGATAATGAGCAGCTAACTCCTGACCATCATGGCGGCCGGAGCGCTCACCTCCTTCCTTCCTTCCTTCCTTCCTCAGTTAGAGCAGAACGGAGGAAGTCTGCTTCATTCTCAGAGAAAAGTTGCCATTATTTAGCTGCCTCTGAATTTCATTGAACCTCAAACAGCGCGCAGCTTAAAAACTTTGCTGTTAATACCAGAGTAATACCAACCCTGTTTATTTGGTGTTTAGATCCCGCGGGCTGCTACCGTTTAAATTCTTTATTTGTTCTTTATGGAGGTTTTAGTGGGTAAAGTAGAGCATTAATAAAGCTTTTCACTTCGCTTCGTCACTTTGGTGGAGCAGAAAGTCAAAGGAACGATTTTCATTCAGCTTTTTGGATAATATTTGTTCATATTAACAGTTTTGAAGGCGCGCGCGCAGCGGTTTAGGCTAGGGTCCTCGTGCAGGTGCAGCGCGCGCCCTCAGCTGGCTGGCTGTAGGGGGTCAGGGCGTCCTGCTCTGATAAGGAGCAGAGAGGCTGTATATCCAGGCCTGCCTGGTGGAAATAAACAGTTAAACAACAACCTGAAGCCACTCCAATGGTTTCTACTGTTGTTAATCTATGAAATACATCATCAGATAAATCTCATAATTACTAGTTTGTTTTTAGGCTTATGTCAGTCTGCCAGTTTCTGATGGTCTTACAGGTTTTCCCATCAAACTTTTAAGCTTTTCCCAGCTTAAATCTCTCACTTCAAGATACTTTTCTGCACCTTTCACTATTATTTTGATTTTGTTCGTTTTTTTTGTCTATATCTGTTTTATTTATTTATTTATTTTTAATAATTCTAATTCCCCCTTTCTCTCCTAAAACTTTATTTTAAAAGAATCCAAAGGTGTTTTTCGTCCATTAGGGATCCATAACAGCAGTAAAGGTGTGTCTGAGAAATCGCTGCTAAACAGGTTTATTCTATTTTAGAACAGGCGAAAGGATCACAAAGATCATTTTTTAGTTTCTGCCTTAATCCAGCAGACTGTCTGCATTTTACTGACAACCAAACCTGCTAAGATCAAAGCAGAGCTACTTTGCTGTGATGAACTTCATATTTCTGCTAAATCCCAGCCTTAATGGGCTCCTTGTATTTTAAACTGTTGCATTTCTATGGTTATGGTTAAAAAAAACAGCCTTTTGCCACTGAAGGATCACACCAACCATGCTCCAGTTGTGTGTATGTGTATGTAGCTATATATGAGGGCTGAGGCAATTAACTGGATTAATCAATTATTGAAATAATCATCAACTAATCTAATAATCAATTAATTGTTAAATTGAGTATAGAGAATCTAAAACATACATTTAGTGTATGTTTAGATGATGGGTGGATTGATGGGTGATGGATGGATTGATGGGTGATGGATGGATGATGGGTGGATTGATGGGTGATGGATGGATGATGGGTGGATGATGGGTGGATGGGTGGATGATGATGGATGGATGGATGATGGGTGGATGATGATGGATGGGTGGATTGATGGATGATGGGTGGATGGATGGGTGATGGATGGATGATGGATGGATGGGTGGGTGATGGATGGATGATGGGTGGATGATGATGGGTGGGTGGGTGATGGATGGATGATGGGTGGATGATGATGGGTGGATGGATGATGGATGGATGGATGATGGGTGGATGATGGATGGATGGGTGGGTGATGGATGGATGATGGATGGATGGATGGATGATGGGTGGATGGATGGATGGGTGGATGATGGGTGGATGGATGGGTGATGGGTGGATGGATGGGTGATGGATGGATGATGATGGATGGATGGATGATGGGTGGATGGATGGATGGATGGATGGATGATGGGTGGATGGATGGGTGATGGGTGGATGGATGGATGATGGACGGATGATGGGTGGATGGATGGATGATGGG